CTCACACTCTTTGGCTTAATGCCCTTCCTGACTACAGTTAAAGCACTTATTCTGCTCATGATGGATTGCATATCTTTTAACCTCAGCTAGCGTTGCCGTTCCCCACCCTATCAAAATATTTTTAATGGTCCTGCTTATCTCTGGTCTCATTCCACTGATGAATGCTATTTTTAATTGCTGATGGTAGGGTGTATCATTCCCCTGTCTCTGGTCTGGCTCGGGTATGCCACTGTTTGCGTTGAACACATCCTTAAGCCTCTCTATGTATTGGCTAACAGTCTCACTATCCTCTTGTTTACACTCATGTACTTTAGAGAAGTCTGCATGACGATGGTAATGTTCCCTGAGGCTATTACACAATTCAGTTATTTTCCCAACATACTCTCCGTGATCAGCCCATGGCAAAAGTGCCCTCTGGGCATCCCCTGAAACCCACTGCCCTCTAACGGCAACCCAATCCTTTCTTGGGGTGGGTCATTCCTTCTACCGCTCGGGCCACGTCCCTCTGTGTCCATGGCCTGTATACATCTAAGGTTGCTGGGGCCCCTTCATTCCCTGCCAATAGATTAGGTAAGCCTATCATTGGGTACTGGCCCCCTCCTACTCTCTCATCTCCTGACTCATACTGACTCCCTCCTGAGCTTAGCTCTGAATCCTCCTGTTCTTCTCTCCTAACTGGACTTTTGTTGTGGGGTTCAAGTCTCCTCAGGGACCTGGGTCTTCCTCCCTTCGGTCCCTTGACCCCCCTATTGTACCCTAGTCCTCTAGTTACTTTCTTAGCCTTCTCTTTCCGTCTCTCTCTAATCTCTGCAATTCCAATTGGGTTTGCTGCTGTTGTTCCAAAAGTGTTTTAAGAACCTCAATTGTACTTTCTTCCTTTTTCTGTCTGTCACCCTCCTCTCTCTTTCGAGACTCCGAGAGCCACACCCTGGCCATATCTAGCCCTTTCACTCGCTCTCTCTCTACTCTGCCTTTACACACCTTGTGCGTCTGTTTTACCATGGATTCAAGTTTGTCTGTGTCCAGACGTCCCTCAAAACCATACCTCTCCCTCCACCTGGTCACATAATGGAGGTCCTTCTATCCCTGGACTCCATAAATCTTGTAATAATTCACTCAATAATTATTCTCCTTTGGACTTATTATTAGGTGTGACTTTTGAGCAAATGGAATGATCAACTTTTGTAATTAACCATTTAAATTATTCAACCCGTAACCCAGAGTGTTTTAAGATCCCAGTTTCATGAAATGGATGGGACAACCATTCTTTCTCACGCGACCTATTTTAGTCCCTTTTTCTGGAATTATTCATAGATGTGACTTTTCAGCAAACATTAGGTCTCACACGTATACAACCTTACATGATTATTGGTTAACACTATCGGTAACCCGGAGTTTATAAGGCTCCAGTTTCATGAAACTGATAAAGTTACGGCAAAATCTACAGTTGTTTGTGACTTTTGACTTTACTAATATTCTATTTCTCACACATGCTATTTTAATTCCTTCTGGTGTACTTTTGACAACCCTCTTTCAGATTGTCTCAACACAAGTTTAGTTTATGTTCGGTAATGGCCTCTCTACCTGGAGTCAATTTCGGACCCACCTCTCTTTACTTAAGTTTACTGGCTATACCACTCGCATTTTATATATATCTAGAAAACTGGCACATTGGGTTTTCTCTAGATAAACGTCTAAAAACGCGATGGTAAGTCTTACTAGATTTTGGTAATCATTCTCTGCCCTCTACAAGAATTACAGTAGTATTATTGCAAGTTCAGATCACTTCCCCCAAAATGTAATGAATAAAGATTACTGACCTTATTCTTGCAGCTCAATTTTGGTTGGATATCGTCACCGTTTCTGTCATTTCCAGGTTGTCACAGGCCTGTATTGATCCCCCAATCTCAGAAGGCAGGTCTATGTCTATACGGATGTATCATCTGCCCGTGCACGGTTTTCAGTGTCCCCCGGAACGACAGAGGATGGGTATTGATATCCGGCTCGAAGGACCAAGCTGTCACGAGAATTTTGTTATCTCAATGGTTGAAGTCAACTACTTCTTAAATCATTGAATAATTCCCAAAAGGTTGTAAATCTCTTAGTTTGAATAAATTAAACAAAGACCCAATTCTGCAATGGTCAGCATGTTTATTCATGAGAGCGCTCTGCAACAAAATGGTCGTACAATCTTTTTATACACACGCGTCAGAGGAAAAATCCCACCCCGCTTTAGGCGGGCTGTATTTTTCCATCGTACACATCTTGTAAGCTCACACCTGGGTTTAGCTCATGTGATTTTCCTCTGCTCTCCTGACCATCAGGTCACACACACACACACACACACACACACACACACACACACACACACACACACACACACACACATTCACACACACACACATACACACACACACACATGTTCTTATCATAGTCTACTCCTTGCTGTGTGTTTTGGGAACCAGTCTCCTGTTATTGGTTTCAATCGTTTTGCACTTCTGCTTGCCTAATTACAAGACACAAATACTCTGTTGCAAAAACACATTTGATTAACTCTCTAAGCTCTAGTCTACTAATTAGTCATACATTATTAGTTTAACTGAGGGTGTGACATTTTAGTCATATCTTACTCACACATTTCTTTATCACTGTCAAAACAACAACTCCAGTCGCCATATTTTTTAAAATTACCATAGTCAAAAAATCCTATCGGATTCCAATTAAAACATCCTATGAGAATCCAAAAGAAAATCCTATCAGATTTTGGAACCAGTCCTATTCTAGATCGTATAGGATGGTTCTATCCTGTAGGATAAAATCCTACAGGCTAGGTTCCGAAATCTAATAGGAATTTATTTATTGGAATCCTATATAATTTTTTGACTAGGGCATAGAGATAGCTAGAGGACATCTTTGTAGCTGTGCCATTGTAGATTCTGTGACAGCATGGGCACCGCCATTGAGGCTATCTCCATTTTAAAGTAGCACTTTATCTTCTTCTTCATTGGCTGATTGTTCCCAACTCATAGGAATCCCCACCAAGTTGACAACTTTAAAATGGTGGAAGCCCTCAATGGCAATGTCCATGCTAAAACTGGTTATATCCATGATGAGATCTATATATCTCTATGACCACAGGCACAATTCCTTTATACTTCTATTGGTCCATTTTCAAGCTAGGAGTCAGAGGCACTCCAGTACAGTAGGTGGCAGTAATGCACCATAACGTTGGATGCCAACCGCCGATAAATCCTACAGAAGAAGAAGAGGCGGCGGCAACGATAGTAGCACAGATAGAATAAGGAGCAGTTAAGGTTAGTTATAAATATCTTTGACGGTAGCTAGGACAGGGGTGAAGGACAGATTTTGGGCCGAGTAATTTTTTTTTCTCTCTCTCAGACTGTCAATGGGGTCAGGAGAAGTGTGACGATAATTCCGATATATCAGGCCTATCGAGCAGTCATCAATAATTAAATGTGTCTAGTTGATTTCCGACTACTCTACTTTCCCCAAACACTGAATATGGTGACTGTGTGCGGATACTTCTATTCACTATATTCTATTCTTCAAATACAACGTTCATTTGGCACCAGACCACACTACTGTTTAATACTAAATGCAAAAAAATAGCATAATTTTCTGTGAAGTGCTTTTTCACCAGATCCACTATAACATGGGGGCAGTGTGAAATCTGAAACATAATGTGATCTCGCAAGATCAGGATGGTTGAACAAGGGTGCTGGTCAGCTACACTACAGTAAACCCTGCAGCTTCCTTGAGCTGCTGTTGCTATACATGACAATGCTTTTTTAGTTCATTTCTTTTTTCGTGACTTGTGTTTTTCGTCATTGTGTGATGAACCATTGAAAAGGGAATCCAAACTGTCATATTTTTTAAACTGTATATAATTGCAATCTTCTTTATTTTTTTTATATATACAGTGAAATGCTTTGTGTTTGTGTTTGTGTGTGTGTGGTAATACCTATTATCCCCACCCCTCAGGATACCTCCTGCTGTATAACCCTGATGGGCTGGCCAATACTCTCTCACTAACGCGGACACACGCACACACACAGTGGTTGGCAGGAGTCCAAGTCCTATTAAAGTTACAGTGTTTATTCGAACAGAATGGAACAAAACAGTCAGTGACCTCTAGCCTCTCTGATGGGGACAGAGAGACATACATCCTGTAAATGGTCTGTTCTGATTCAACTACTGTAACAGAATAAAGGACTGGTGTGACCAACTCATGGGAACAGGCTGGTGGAGAGGATCACTCACTCTCAGAACAATCCTAACGCTGCTTCAGTCACCCTGGAAACAGGAAATAATCAAGTCTACCGCTTTTCTGTGGGAGAACAATGAGGTGTGTGTTTTATCTATGTGGTAAAATACAGTATGGGCTGATCAGTTCTGCTAACCCTGCAGAAACCTGTAGCACAGTTATGGGAACACAAGTTTAGGTCAGGGTTTCCAACTCTGGTGCTGGAGAAGTTTGTTAGACGTGCAGAGCTGGAATTAAAGCCTGCACACCCTGTAGCTCTCTTATAACCAGTTACTGTGGCTAAATTAGAAATTGCATTAGGACAAACACATACTAAGATGTGCATTTATTTATAAAAGCAACAATGTCAGAAAACAGAAATGTTTCTAAGACACACAGAAATCAGTATTTTACCGAAGATAGTAAACAACACGATCAATGAAAAGTATTCAATCATAGACAATACAGTAGCAGAAAAGTTACAAATTCTATGAATACAGTTAGTTTGTGAAGTGACAAACATTGATGCAAGATATGGCAGTATTGCACACTTATTGCTGCTTCACTACTGTAGAAAGCCTGTCTGTAGTTTTCATTACTAGAAAAAGCTACACATGCTATGGTTCAACTGTAGTAGTCCATGTAGAAAGGTCTTAGTGCTCAAACAATCCGCTTGGCCTCCTCTAACAGTGTAATGGCCCTGAGAACACGCACGCACACACACACACACTCAGACTCGGTCAGTAGTGTCCGTGACGCCCTCCAGCTGCTGTAGAATCATGGTCTTCAGTGTGCTGTACCTATGGACACACACACACACAGTATGGTGATGAATGGTCTTATTTACACTTTGACGAAAACAGACTTCCTGTTTATATTCTCCTAAAGGCATCTACAAATCAACGTTTCTCGGTCGCGTACACAGTTTAGCAGATGTTATAGTGGGTGCAGCGAAATGCTTGTGTTACTAGGTCCTGTGTTACAGTGAAGTAAAAATGTCAAGCAAGTACACAAATAATAATCAAAAACTAGAATCCAGTTAACAACCCAAATAACACTGTACCAGTAATCCGAATGCAGTCTATGTGAATATACACCAAAAAGACATACTAAGAATGATATGTACAGCAGTAGAAATATTACAGTGAGCTATGTCAAGAATCCAGTATATAATGCAATTATGTACAGTGGTAGGTATATTAGAATGAGCTATGTGAAGAATACAGTATATTAATAAGAATCCGGTATATAATCCAGTATATAAATAAGAATCCAGTATGTAAATACGCGGTGTGTATAAACAGTGTAACAAAAATGCAATTATTTACAGTAGTAAATATATTAGAATGTGAAGAATACTGGCCACCCCTCAGAGCCAGGTTCCTCTCTAGGTTTCTTCCTAGGTTCCAGCCTTTCTAGGGAGTTTTTCCTAGCCACCGTGCTTCTACATCTGCATTGCTTGCTCTTTGGGTTTTTAGGCTGGATTTCTGTATAAGCACTTTGTGACATCTGCTGATGTAAAAAGGGCTTTATAAATAAATTGTATTGATTGAAGCTACAGCCGGGATTACATAAGCATTTTAGTCAATTAGCAGACGCTCTTATCCAAAGCCACTTACAGTACTGAGTGCATACATTTTTCGTGCTGGTCCCCCGTGGGAATCGAACCCACAATGCTGGCATTGCAAGTGCCATGCTTTACCAACTGAACCACAGGGATGGTGTATGTGTCAGTGCTGTGTCAGTGTGTGTGTGTGTGTGTGTGTGTGTGTGTGTGTGTGTGTGTGTGTGTGTGTGTGTGTGTGTGTGTGTGTGTGTGTGTGTGTGTGTGTGTGTGTGTGTGTGTGTGTGTGTGTGTGTGTGTGTGTGTGTGTGTGTGTGTGTGTGTGTGTGTGTGTGTGTGTGTGTGTGTGTGTGTGTGTGTGTGTGTGTGTGATGTAGTTTATAGCCTCCTTAAGGCATCATGTCAACACAGAGTAATGTTGTTCAGTAGGACATAACATTTTCTTGGTGATCTGACCTGGTGGGTGAAAGTCATTCGGTTCAGCACAATGTTTACAGAAATAACACACTAATAACACACTAAAAGACAAACCATAAACAGACCATAGAAACAATATATGCCAAACTAACTGTATCATTTTTAAAAGACGGGACAGCACTTAAATGGCACGGCACATTATCCAAGGCAAGTTCTGAATACTGCAGCTAGCCATTGCGTCACGTTCTGCAATGTTTACTTCCTTTGAATAAAAGTTATAACATAAATTGTGTTGTACAGTACGTTTTGCACAGTTCATAATTGTTTTGCGTGAGGAAATGTTGCTCAAGAACACAACAAACATGTAAAACACGTAAAAAGCACCCAAACCCCTTAAGTAAACCCCTTAAGTAAACTTACTTTCTGGTCAGTTTAGAAATCTCTCTCTCCTCTTCCTCTTTCAGTTTCTCTACAAAGCTATCCAGGACTGGCATCTCAAAGTTAATGTACTGGGCCACCTGGGGAGAAACAGAAGTATTGTCATATAACACCTGAAATATCGTCTCATAACATGAAGTAGGTCTATCATTGTATTACACGCAAGTAGAAGAAGCCAAAACGGAAGTAGAATGGTTGGACTCTTGCACACTATGTACTTGCAAATAAACATTTATCAAAGTACAATTGTTCTGCCAAGAGTATGTGACTGAAACGTTGTACTTTATTATTTTACTGCAGTGGGCTAAATCAGGGTCACACAGAGTGTTTCTTGGTAGTCTTAAACAAATCTACTTTGAAACAAAAGTATACACCTCACACACATGGTTATGGGCTTAAAAAAGACGACACCTGTACCATGTCAGATATAGAGTTGAAATGTATTACATTTTGAGTTTGCATCCCAATATTACACTTGATATACATCACAGAAGACTGAAATATAACCAAACCGCTTGACATAGAAACACTGGAGTTTCTGCGGGTTTTGGAAATAATGTTGATTAATTATGAAATTATGAAAAATATGAATAACTTTCCACCCAGGAGGCCACTAGGTCATTTGACTGCAGGAAAGGGTAAAAAACTAAATGTTGATTTGCAAGTCCACACAGTGCACCAGAGTCCCATTAAGCTGAAGAGAAATAGAATGCAGCCACATAACTACGATGACCCAGCTGTATTGGAATAACAACAATAACAGTATTTACCTTTAAGCCTAACAGCTGAACAGAAGGATATATTCACTGTCAACAATACTGTAGCAGCTACAATAACAAAGTCAACAATTAAACAGCTACTGCCCCAATTGTTAATACAGTCCTAACAGGAAAGTCTGTCATCAGCATTCTATTATTAGATCAAATACCACTGATTATGACACTGGGATATTGCTATGGGTCTGTATTTGGAGGGCCACCACAACATGGAAGTCCACCTCTTAGAATACACATACAGTGTGAGAGAGAGAGAGAGAGAGAGAGAGAGAGAGAGAGAGAGAGAGAGAGGAGAGAGAGAGAGAGAGAGAGAGAGAGAGAGAGAGAGAGAGAGAGAGAGAGAGAGAGAGAGCGAGAGCGCAGACTCACGTCATGTGTGACCTCCTCCCCTAGATCCGTCTCCATAATAAAGATCTTGGAGATCTTCTCACAGGGTCCATGAAGCACACGGTACACCAGAGGATACTCACTGTTCTTCAGCGGGGTTCTCTCTGCAACACACACACACACCCGTACGCACACACACACACGTATGAATATACTCTTCCATACCTACCCACGCATAAAAGCATGAGATGTGGTCACTTACCACCAGATTCATGGACCATATAGAGAACAAACTCATCTGCTTTATTCTCCACCTGGAGACACAGACAGTCAGAAACATGACAATCACATCTGAGAAACTAGTGTGTGTGTATTGTGTGAGTGTGTGTAAAAATGTGTGTGTGTGTGTGTGTATGTGTGAGACTCACTCTGAACTTCTGTAGCAGCAGGTTGAGGACCTGTAGTGTTGTCATGGAGCTGTTGACTCGGACGTTAGTGACCGACCCGAACGCTGGAGTAAACACTGACGTCTGGAGAGAACACATGCACAAGTGCGAGCACACACACATACACACAGAGCAAATATATACAGTGAAAAGGGTAGTGGGCCCAAAACTGATCTTTGAGGAACACTATAATTTACATTTACATTTTAGTAATTTAGCAGACTCTGTTATCCAGAGAGACTTACAGTTAGTGCATTCATATAAAGGAAACTAGGTGAGACCTCCACATATCACAGTCATAGTAAGTTAAAAATAAATCTATAAAACAGATATGAGCAAAGTCAGTACTAGTAAGAAAAGACAAGGGCGAGTGTTAGTCGAGATACTTTTTGAAGAGGTTTTCAGATCTTTTCAAAATAAGAGCATATAAAACTTTGGAGTCACCAGTAAGCACAGCTCTGTGTGTGTGTGTGTGTGTGTGTGTGTGTGTGTGTGTGTACGTATGCATGTGTTACCTTGTGGTTATAGAAGTGTCCATTGATGGAGAATCTGTGTGTGCGTAAGTGCTGCAGGTCAGAGTGTGTGTGTGTCTTTGATCTTCTGGTGACCCCCATGAAGGAGGCATCACTCCTGGTCCGCAGCAGCTGGGGGACCTCCTCATCGTCCTCCTCTAGACTACCTGAGGGAGAGACCACAGAGTTAGAACTTCCTCTTCCCTCTGCTCCTCCTCCTTACCTTCATCGTCCTCCTCCCCCTCATACTCCAACTCAAAAGTAATGTTCATACAGTGTGTGTACAGGCCGTAATACTTATATTGTATTTACAGCTATGTATACAAATATTTATTGTGGAAAAAATATGATTTTTGTAAGTATTTATGTATTTAGAACAGTTTCCTAATTAAAGTTATTTTTTTCAAGTGGGTATCCCCTCCCAGCTGGAAGTGCACATGGCAGCATATCTAAAGCCGTAATCCCTGCTCAGGTGTCTCTGTGTTTGTCTGCACATGTGCTGAAGCAGGTGGGTATCCTGAAGATTTAATTATAGAGTAATACGGCAGGTGACAGGATTGATAGAGCAGGATTACACGTGTGTGTGTGTGTTTTGTCTGTCTGGATGTCGGCCCACCACCTCAAGCTTAACCTCGACAAGATGGAGTTGCTCTTCCTCCCGGGGAAGGCCTTCCCACTTAAAGACCTCTCCATCACAGTTGACAACTCCACAGTGTCCCCCTCCCGGAGTGCAAAGAACCTTGGCGTGCAACTGGACAACACCCTGTCATTCTCTGCAAACATCAAAGCAGTGACTCGCTCCTGCAGGTTCATGCTCTACAACATCTTTAGAGTACGACCCTACCTCACATTGTAAGCGGCGCAGGTCCTAATCCAGGCACTTGTCCTCTCCCGTCTGGACTACTGCAACTTGCTGTTGGCTGGGCTCCCCGCTTGTGACATCAAACCCCTGCAGCTTATCCAGAACGCTGCAGCCAGCCTGGTGTTCAACCTTCCCAAGTTCTCCCATGTCACCCTGCTCCTCTGCACACTCCACTGGCTTCCAGTCGAAGCTCACATCAACTACAAGACCATGGTACTTACCTATGGAGCAGCAAGGGGAACTGCCCGTCCCTACCTTCAGGCTATGCTCAAAACCTACACCCCAACCAGAGCACTGCCACCTCTGGTCTCTTGGCCCTCCCACCCCTGTGGGGGTCAGCTCCCATTCAGCCTAGTCCAAGCTCTTCTCTGTCCTGGCACCCCAATGGTGGAAC